TTCTTTTTAATGACGTAATTGTTTAGAGTGACGATAGATTTTGTCACTGTATCATATATTTCATGACAAATAAATATATCACTAAATATCTGCAATTAATGACAATTATTAAATTTGTAATAGTGACAAATTTTATATTGTCATTGAAAATAATCTTTTTTTGACAACATGTAGTCGTGATGTATTTGTTTGGATTTGTCACCATATAAAATGTTAAAATGACAAAAACTTTTGTCACTAAATATTTACCTTTTCATGACAACTTATGTTGTCATTATATCTCAAGCTTTTGATGACAATCATTTTTTTCGTAATCATAAAGCTAATATTTCACGACAAAATATTTCGTCGCTTTTATATGTTTTTGGAGACGAATAATATTTCGTCACTACTTCAATTTTTTATGACACTTTTGTTATCGTCATATTTAAAATTTCTTTTTATGACGACCATTATTTTGTAGTTATATAACAACTTTTAGATGACGAATTCTATGAAATATGACGATTATTTTAACGAAAACGCCACAAATATATTCGTCATTGAAATTTTATAAATTCGATAAAAAAATAAAATTCGTCACTAAACAATAATATTTAGATGACGAATGTAAGTTTTCGTCATTTAAAACTTGTCTTTTTATGACAAAATAATTGTTTATATGACAAATTTTTCATATTAAACGTGACGAAATTATTGTCACCAAAAGTGTCCAAATAACATGACGAAACTTAAAAACGTCATTAAAAGTGAAACATTTGGTGACAAAATCGAAATTTGTCACCTATACCTAATATGACGCGGCTACGGTGACGATCGCTGTGACGATAAAATTTCGTCATCATTGTACTTTTGTGACGAAAAACAAGGTTTACATGACGAATTTTTTCGTCATGTTTTGCGAAATTTCTTGTAGTGAAGATCTTTGAAAAATATTTTGTTAATAAAAGTCAAAATTTATAATTTAATTCTAGAGAATTAATTGATAAATTTTAACGACGTGGTAACCAACAACAAATCTAAAACTCAACTAAGTAATTATTCATAACATATGAATCACTATTAACTTCGACGTAAATGAAATATTCAATTGTTTATAGTTTAATAAATTATTCAACTACTTAATTTTTTTTATTTGAATACCTTATACAAAAATAAATTCATTTTAATTAATGAAACAATATAAATTTTATAATTATTCTTATTATTCACATAGATTTTTAAATATATGATAAACCTCTATAAAAATAATTATTTTATAGAATCACATTATAGTCAAATCGAGTTTTTGAATAAAAATTTTAAAATGACATTAATTTTAAAATAAATATAATGTAATTTATTATCAGTTACATACACCGTACAAGTTGTATACTAATTTTAGAGAGACAAATTTTATGTCATTTTGTAAATTTTACATTTCACATAACATTTTCAATAAAATTAATATAAGTAAACTATATTACATATCCACATTTTAATTTATAATATTATTTAATAAAAATTTTCAATTTATAATTATCTATATATATCTAAAAAGGTTGATGTAAAAATCCTTTTTTAGAAACCTAAAAATAATTGAGTTGACTTTTGACTTTCTATTTATGTATTCTACTTTAAAATCGGAAGAAAAACTATGAAAAGGCAGTGGATATTTCGTTAATTTAGCATGAAATTTGCGTTAATTAAGCAAATGGATATTTTCCTTAATAATGGTGATATTTCCGTTAATTAAGCATGTAAAATTGATTGTCCGTTGCAAAAATCATGGGACTTACTATTTATCCAAATACAATCCATAACTATCTTATCACTTTTGGTTAATAAAAAATATTTGAAATTGATTGTCCGTTGCAAAAATCATGGGACTTACTATCTATCCAAATACAATCCATAATTATCTTATCACTTTTGGTTAATAAATAATTGTATAAAAGGATATTCACTACCACCATTACAACTCATCATTCACGAGTTCAGAGAAAAAAATAATACAGAGAATAATTTTGTAACACATTCCATATACTGTTTCATGATGAACAGGTTGTTATTTCAATTTTATATAATTTAGAAAATTATTTTAATTAATATTTATAAACTTGTATCGTAGGGTGCTTTCATTAAATGCATAATCAACAAATTTTATATAAACTGAGAGCAGTCTAATTTTTGTAAAATATGTAAACTTTAAACGTTTTTTATATATAAAATTGTATATACTTTAAACATGTTAGTTGGGCAAACTTTAAGGATATATATATGTGTGTCTATGCTAACTTTAACTATATATATTTTTCTTATAAAATAGTCTAGACAGAATTGAGGTAATTTCTCATTTTTCGATAATAATATAAAATATTTTAATACTTTCACATATGTTATATAATAGTCTACGTATTCTTAATGTCTTTTGGTTGTAACATTGTTAACACATATAATATTAGATACTTTTAAATATATTTAGATAATTTTTTTACTTATTTTTTAATATCTATGTGCATAAAAAGAGAATAAGATTTATAAAAGATTTTCCGGCAATATACTAAATGTTAGATAAAAAATCTCATTTTATTTGTTATATAATATTTCGAGTTGCATTAATTTTGATTTGTACGTGTAAACTTGATAAATTAAGCGTATGAAAAGGAGCGTACGAATTACTGTAAGGATTTAAAAAATAAAAAATAAATCTAATTTTTTAATATTTTCTACTAACTTCTAAACGAATTTATGTCATAATTCGTCATAATTTTCCCACATCATGTCAATTATAATTTTATATATACTAGGCAAAAGGTAAATCATTATCTCAATATTTATTCTATATATTCTAAGTAAATCTTCTCATCTATCTCAACGGTCCACAGGTAGTATTTCATACTTTTCTATTCATAATCAAATATATCAAAGCTTCACAAATTTTACTTCACAAAAAAGTGTTCAATAATTTATATTTTTTTCCCTTCTTTGCAATCCATTTAATTTTGTTACATATATATAAATTATATTATTTTTAATATTTCACACGTTAAACATTTCAGGAAAATATATCATCTCGTACATGCACTGGCTACGCACTAGTTATTCAACATCTCTTTAACTCTTAATTCATTAACTATTGAAGATGGTATGAACACGAGGCAACGTTGGAACTTTCACATTGTTTGGGAGAGAGAACAATTAACTCAAAATAAAATAATAATTTTGGCTGAATTTGAGGGTCGAATCGTCTGTAACCCGTACAAACCAGTTCCTCGCTTATTATCCACAAACCCAAACTTCTCCAAGACACCCATCACATCATCCCCACGCAGCTTCAGCTAACACGACTACAGTGATAATGGCGAACACCTTGTGTTCGTTTGGGTTAAGAACTCAAATACCGCCCAAAACCATCCGATCAGCTACACTTCCATTTACGCCCTTCAACAACAGACGGAACTTGTCTCTGGGTGTATGTTCCTCCTACTCCATCGGTGGGATTCGTCCCCTTATCCTTAGAAAAACTTCTTCTGCTTCCACCTCCACGGCGAGAAATTCGCAGCCGCTTACGGTGGTGTGTGCCAAGGAGTACAAAATGAAGACCCACAAGGTATTCATTTTTCTTATTTTTTTGGTAATTTCAGTGTGCGTATTTATTTGGGTTTTTTTTTTTTGTTTCTGAAACTTGGCTGTTTGAGTGGGAAATTTTAGGCTTCCGCCAAGCGATTTAGGGTTACGGGGAGTGGGAAGATAATTAGGAGAAGAGCAGGAAACAGCACTTGCTCAGAAAGAAGAACACTAAGAGGAGATTGAGACTCTCTAAAACGGTTTGATTATTTCTTTTTCTAATTTTATTCTTCTTTTTCCTTTGATGGGCAAATTTCTATTGGTTTTTCTGCTCTATTACTTTAATGTGATTGCTTGTTTTCACCATTAGATTCTGGTACTAATTTCATTGCACCTCTGATTGTTCGCCCTCTTGCAATCCTCATCGGCGATGAAATTAGAAATTTGCGGAAGATTGATAAAAATGAAAATGGGCTTTGGTTGGATTAGAATTTTAGCTTTTTTCTTATTGAGAAATGTAGCTAGAATGAGAGTGAGCTATTTTAGATCATTGGCGCAGTTATTGTAGAGCATCTCAAAGTATCATTTAAAGGGCCTGAAGATTTTAAGTTGTTCCTGTCAGTTAAATATTAGGATGACCCTAAAAATTAATAAGGATAGGATTTGAACTATTTCTAGCTGGGATAAATTGGTTGTTTGGATTTGCTAAGTGCCTTGATAACTTTCTGTTAGAAACCTTAAACCTGATGAAGAAAGTGATCAAGGGCAAAGCAGGAAATTCATGTGTGAGGAGCAGTTTTAGCATGATTATGCAAGATCATGCAATACGGTTATTAGGCAGTTAAGAGGCAGTGGAAGTTAGATAGTGTCTAGTTATTTCCTGATATTGTAGGATGTTGTAGTATATATATGTATGAATAGAGATCAATGAAAAGTAAGAAAAATATGATCGATAAAAGAAGTTTTTCAGATTCTAAGTTTCAGTTTTCAGTTTTCTTCATTATCTTTTTCATGTTCATGTAAGGATTTTATTATGGTATCAGAGCCATAAAATCCTTCAAGTCTTTTCTTTTCTTTTACTTTTAAATTATGGGTGAACACACTCAAATCACTGCACAGAATGGAGATCAAACGATCCAACTTCAAGGACAGCTTATTAGCATCAAGCTGACAGATAGCAATTTCTTGCTTTGGGAACAACAAGTCTTGGCAGCCATACGAGGATATGGACTTGAGGGATACATTAATGGAGAGATCACAACTCCTGAAAGGTTTTTACCATCTCCACAACTTCTGTTCCAGAAATCAACCCACAATATTTGAAGTGGATGAAGCAGGATCAATTAATCATGTCTTGGATCCTATCTTCTTTAAGTGAGAGTATTTTGGTGTCTACTGTTGGATTAACCACAGCTAAAGCTATTTGGGACTGCCTTAAATCCAGTTTTGCTAGTCATAACAAAGCCAAAATCATGCAACTAAAGCTTCAATGTCACTGAAGAAAGGTAATTCTCAGATCAAAGAATACTTCAACAAAATGAAATCCATTTGTGATATGCTTGGATCTGTTGGTGAGAAAATTTCTGAGAATGATCAAATCATGTATTTATTGAATGGTTTGGGATCAGAATACAATGCTATCATTGTATCACTGACAACTAGAGTTGAAAGTCTGAAAATTATGGAGGTATATGCTATGTTGCTGAGTTTTGAGAATAGGTTGGAAGTTTTGGAAAATAATAATGATGAGCAAAATGGAAACTTCAGTGTTAATATTGCTACTCAATTTGGCCCTGGAATGAAAAGAGGAAGAGGTCGAGGGTCATTTCACTTCCAAGGAAATAGAGGAAGAAGCTCAGTACAACGAGGAGGAGGAACTTATAGAGGAAGAGGTGGCCGATTTGGTTTCAACAAACAGAGGTGTCAAATTTGTGGTTATAATAATCACACTGCTGATAAGTGTTACTACAGGTTTGATAGTAACTATACAGTCCATGGTAGCACTTCTAACAGCTCAGCTCAAAATCCAAACAAGAGCTATAATTATCAAGGACAAAATCCAAATCCCTCAGTTCATGTTGCTAGTATTGGCTCTCATGTTGGCACTCAGAATAATGAAGGAGCACAAGACACATGGTGGTATCCAGATTCAGGGGCAACGAACCATTTAACTTATGATCTGAACAATCTCAATGTGGGATCAGAATACCAAGGTTCAGAAACTATGCAGATGGCTAATGGGACAGGTATGAAAATTGCTTAGGTAAATCTTTTGTAACATCTGCCCATAATCATAACCAAGTATTCATGTTAAACCAATTGTTCCATGTCCCACAAATCACCAAAAATTTACTAAGTGTCTCTCAGTTTGCTAAAGACAATAAAGTCTATTTTGAATTTCACCCCTTGACATGTTTTGTGAAGGATCAGGAAACCCAAGCAATATTGCTCCAAGGGACACTTAGGAACGGCCTCTATACTTTTCAACTCAATCAATGCAAGGATGCTTGTTTCAGATCTCAAGATCAAAACCTTTCTTCTAGTTTTCAATCAAGTGTTAATCATGCCCAGATCACCAATAAAGCAGACTTAAGCTTATGGCATTCTAGAATGGGGCACCCTTCTTTTGATGTTGTAAAAAGGGCCTTAACACATTGTAATATTCCTTTTTCTGAGAAAGAACAATTGAAATTGTGTGAAGATTGCATGAAATCAAAAATGCACAGACTTCCTTTTTCTCTTTCAGAAACTGATTCATACAAGCCTCTTGATCTTATTCATAGTGATTTGTGGGGACCTTCTCCAATTAAATCTCACTGTGGTTTTAGATATTATGTAAGTTTCATAGATCATGCTTCTAGGTTTACATGGATTTATTTACTTAGAGCTAAATCAGAAACAAAAACAGCATTTGTTCATTTCAAAAATTTGGTTGAAAAACAATTTAGCTCTGCAATAAAATCCATACAAACTGATGGAGGAGGTGAATATGTGGCTTTGCGTGATTTCTTTAACCAAAATGGGATAAAACACAAAGTTTCTTGTCCATATACCCCACAGCAAAATGGTTTGGCTGAAAGAAAACACAGAAACATAGTTGAAATAGGATTGGCCTTAATCTCTCAAGCATCCTTGCCCTTGATATATTGGGATGAAGCTTTTACCTCAGCAGTTTTTCTCATTAATAGAACACCCAAAAAGGTTCTAAGTTACAAAACTCCTCTTGAAGATCTCACTGGAAACAAACCTGATTACTCATTTCTCAAAAATTTTGGTTGCTTATGTTACCCTTACTTAAGGCCATATACTAAGCACAAACTTGAACCTAGAAGCTTACCTTCAACCTTCATAGGTTATAGTCCTTCACACAAAGGCTACAGAATTTTACTACCAAATAAAAAAATCATTACCACCAGGGATGTTTTATTTGAAGAAACAGTTTTTCCTTTTTCTAAACCACATAAACACCAGCTTCAAGAACCAGAAAACACATCTTTAATCCAGCCACTTGGAATTTTAACTTATCCAAATCATATTCAGGATTATGATCCACCAACTTCATCTATTCCTCATTCTCCTATACAGCCACATTCTTCACAAAGAAGTCACAGATCCTCATCAACTCCTCATCATGAACCCACAAACAGCACCTCAAGTTCACAAACTTCAAATTCTATTCCAATTGGGCAGATTATGATTGATTTACCTTTAGAGCATAATAATTCATCTGTCTCATCACCACATGTTAGTTCAATGAATCATGGTGCAGGAACTCATCACATGACTACTCGGTCTAAAGTTGGAATTAGAAAACCAAAAATCTTCTCCTATACTGTGTCAAAGGAGATCACTGAACCATCTTCAGTGGAGGAAGCCTTACATATACCAGAATGGAAGGAAGCAATGGAGACAGAATATAAAGCTTTGATGAGGAATCAAACATGGGATCTTACACCTATACCCAAAGATAGAGATGTCATTGGAAACAAATGGGTATTCAAGGTTAAGAGGAACTCAGATGGAACAGTGGCAAAATGCAAAGCTAGATTGGTTGCCAAAGGGTACAACCAATGTCCTGGATTGGATTACACAGATACATTTAGTTCTGTGGTTAAACCTACCACAATTAGAGTGGTTCTCTCACTGGCCATAACAAAAGGATGGTCTATCAAGCAATTGGATGTTGATAATGCATTTTTGAATGGTGATATTGATGCAGACATTTATATGGAGCAGCCTATAGGATTTCAAATTGGCAATGAAAGGCCTCTTGTTTGCAAACTCAGAAAATCATTATATGGATTAAAGCAAGCATCTAGGGCCTGGTCTAGCAAATTTTCAGACATGCTGCTTACTATGGGATTTGTCATCTCAAAATCAGATTCTTCTCTTTATATCAAGCATGATCAACATTCTTGCATTTTACTTATGGCTTATGTTGATGATATTATCCTTACAGGTTCAGATGATTCTCAACTCAATGAGTTTATCAAAACTCTTCATTCACAGTTCTCATTAAAGGATCTTGGTTCTTTAAACTATTTTCTTGGGATTCAAGTCACTCACACTTCAGAAGGATTGTTTCTCAATCAACAACAATATATTTCTGATCTAGTTGACAAAGCTGGGATGAAGGGGGCAAAATCTATCAGTTCACCAATGGTTTCCACCCCAACTTTGTCAAAGTTCTCTGGACAACCTATGGAGAATCCAGTTTTATACAGGCAGATAGTAGGTAGCTTACAATATGCTACTCTTACAAGACCTGATATAAGTTTTGCTGTAAATAAAGTGAGTCAATTTATGCAAAATCCTCTTGACACTCATTGGAAGGCAGTGAAAAGGATCATCAGATATCTTAATGGAACCATTGATCAAGGACTGAAAATTTCAAAATGCAAGAATTTCAAGATCACAGCATATGCTGATGCTGATTGGGCTTCAGATGTGGATGATAGAAGATCAACTTCTGGTCTTTGTGTCTATCTTGATGGGAATCTAGTGTCATGGAGGTCTAAGAAGCAGCCTACAGTTTCCAGGTCTTCAACTGAAGCTGAATATAGGAGCTTGGCACTAGGAGTATGTGAAATAATGTGGTTGGAATCACTTTTGTATGAGTTGAGAATGAAAAGTGAAACAAAGGCAGTTATATGGATGGATAATCAAGGAGCTGTATCCTTATCAGCTAATCCAGTGAACCGTTCTAGAACTAAACATTTTGAACTTGATTTACACTTTATCAGAGA